AATAATGAGGTATGTGTCTACCAGTTTTCTAAAACTATTTTGGGAACTGGATAAATAAACAGGAAGCAAATAATAAAGCTGAGATTTTTTTTGCCCTCTCCAATTCTTGAACAGAGTATTTGCAAAGTTTTCTTTAAAATGTGACGTTTTAAACAATACTCACTCTACTCTTTGTTGTTAATATAGCCAGGAGCACTGATTATAACAATCAAGTCATTAATATTGCAGAAAACCTACAAATGATGTGCAGAGAGTTTTCACAAGAGGTGTCCATGTTCATTAAAAATGTTACCTTTCTTTCTCTTTAACATTTTGGCTTGAAGATTTGTCTCCATCCTACATCAAACAACAGGGTAGAAAACAGGACCCTAACATTATCCAGCTCACTTCCACCTTTTTATCTGATTCTTCTTTAAAGAGCTCTTGGATGGGTGATCTGTTGTTTGTCATTCATCACTTGTAGCTTGCTTTTTTATTTTCTTCTAAGATAAGTCATCAAAGAGGAGTGGGGGTTAACATGCAATTTGGAATAGCATCACAGATTGCAAGGCCAATGTTGCCTGACTTCCCACATGATTCAAGCAAGTGCTCCAAGCCTGTATTTCTCATTGCCCTGTGGTTGTAAATTACAGTAGCTGGTGATAGCAATCAGAGGTGAGGAGAATAGTCTTTCTTTCTATTGCTTTGCAGGGTAGAATCCAGAAACATTTCTCTTTGACAAAGAAGAGCTCTCCATCAGGCACTGTGTGTGTGTTTAAGTAAATAGGAGGAGATTTACCTTCTGAAGCTCATGTGAAATCATTCAAACTTGACATCATTCCAAGACATTGCATGGAAGGAGGTTACACTCACCGTGCCTTAAGCCAGAGCAGAAAGGTGACTGACCAATCAGCTCTAGCATGTCAGGAACCCCAGAGCCATGGAAATTGCTGTGGGTAGCCAAACACTTGCTTCTTTATTTATCGACCATGAAGTTGTGCAAAGCCTGTTGAACAGGCTTTCTCATAGCAGACCTGGCTAGGATGGACTTGTGCCAGGGTGTCAGTGGTAGCAGATGAAACCACCTGCAAGAGAAAACAGAGTTCTAAGTTGAAATAAATCATATATTAAAGGTGTCTGAAGACAATCCTCAGGTGCTAATCTGATCTCTACAGTGTAGAACTGATGTGACCGGGTGTTGTCTGCTCACATGGTAAAGAAATCACGTAAGAAATGTTCCCTCATTTCCTCCAAGGATTAATTCTTCTAGGTGCAAACATGGAGGGCTTTACACCTAAACCAAATGTGAACTTGGAGGTCTGTCTTTACAAATCAGTCACTTTACTCAGGAATTTCCTTAAAGGTGCAGTGGGACTGGGAGGTACAAGCTGAACCTTCTGTTGGCAGCGCTCAAAGGATGTGCTGTAGCCACTAGCATTGCATCAAAGGAAGGGAAGCTGTTTAGGACAGAGAGGTAAGAAAGAAAGCCTGCATGCAGGAGAAACTCTGGGGAGGTCATTAGCAAGACAGGCTGTAACTGTCTGAGCTGGTGTCAGAGCAGGACACAGGTCTTGTTGTTGGAACATATGTGGAAAATGCAATGGAATACAAAGGTGCACATCTATATCATCTATATCTATCTATCTATATCTATCTGTTCTCTACATCTATCTGTATCTAATCTATTTTTGTCTATATCATTTATCTGTATCTATATCTATCTATATGATCTGTATTTATATCTTGTCTATATCTGTATCTGTATCTCTATCCCCATGCTTCTGTGTGTACTTACCACCTCAGCATGAATGATCTACGAAGAAACAGAAGGGGGGCTTAGATGAAGGGAAAAACATCAAAAATAGGTCTAATTATTTTCTAATTTTATTTCCCTCTGCTAGCTGCAGTTCTCAGAAGGAGTGTTTGCAAGCCAGCTTGTAAACATGCCGGTTTAAAGTGTATGCAAACACAGCATGCCCTTTGCACATCCTCAGAACAGCTGAGTGCACAGGTGAAATCCTGTGTTTCACAGATGTATCTCAGTGCTTTCCGCTCTTCTCTGTTTCAAATCCTGTTCCACTGTGGTTCAGAGAACATTTTTAGAAGTCTCCTTAGCACCTTGCTTGTGGTGGCACCCTGGGAAAGCAGCACTGTCTTTTCCTTCTGCTGGAGGGGTAAAGAGGTGGTTAACATTTAACACACACAAAGTAGTGGGTAGGTCAGGTCTTCTCCCAGTGTTTCCCTGGCAGCCAAGTTGCAGCAGTGAGAACCTGACCAGAAGCAACCTGGTAGTGTTGAAGCCGGTAAAGCAGGGCTGGGTTACACCAGCTGGGGATCTGACCACTGTCTATACCCTTAAAAATAACCCAAACAAACAACACAGACTCTGCTTGAGCCCTGGTGTGCTTTTTCAGATGGTTCATAAATTTATTTGACTGGATGTCCAAAATGGACCACCTGCTATGTTGATAGAACAAAGAAAGGAGCTTGAAGAGTGCTAAAAAACCTGAAGGAAGAGAAGGAGAAAAGCCCGGCATCTAACTGACACGCTTGGTAAGGGGCAACCTTGCTGCATAAACACAGGAAGCAGCCATTCTTTCTAACTTCTCATTTTCATAAAAGGTCGTGTCACCAGCTGGCCTGCCAAGCTTGCTTTCCCCCTGACAAAAGAAAGACATGCTCCTTGTCAGTATCAGAGGAGCTGGAGGTAGAAATTAGTTTGGTTCTCCAGCCAGACCCTCCATTGTGTGGAACATATTTTTTTATTATTTGAATTCAAAGTCTGGAATAAGCTCAGGCTTTTTGTATTACTCATATGAATTATTATTAGTACTCCTATTACTTGTATGCATTTCTATGTGAAATGCATGTTCCTAATTTTCAGTTTTCTCTGAGACAATCATTCCCTCAGAGGCGGACAGCAACCAAGACCTTCCCTTTGGTCCACACTGCCTACTGTTCATGGTCAGGTTTCCAGGCCATGACTAAGTAACGTGCTGAAAAATATATCTTGACATGCACCTTGGAGAATATAACACATGTAGGAATAATTTCACTAGTTTTCATTTTTCTCCTTGAAGAAAATGCAGTTGTTAAGCAAAATATAAATTCTGCCAGCCCAGAGTCCTCAACACAGCACATGAATGCGAATTTATCAGAGTTCTGGTGAATTAGATGAAAAAGCCTCCTGAATAAGCAGGGGGAAGACCTGCACAGGCCTCACACCAGAACAGTTGAATGAGAAGAGCTAGCTGCTGAATATTTTTTGGTTTTCTGTAAACTGTACCTTCACAGAGTGTGTTAGGAGTTGCAGAGAAGAGGGTGAGGTGCACGTGCTGTAAGTAAAGGATGAAGATACCTCGTTAGGAACTACAGTCCCTGTGCTTCAGAAAACTTTGAGAATTCTCTGGTCACAGAAAGGAGATGGAATGATTTCAAGGGCTGTGAATTTCTTGTTCTTTTATATCAAAGGTGTTAGTGGAAGTCTGTTTTTGCAACTAATGATAGAAAGCAGATTGTCTGTTTGTATGGCAGAATATATTTTGGTCCAATTGTGCTCTTTTTTTTGTGCCTTGTAATAAGCTTGCTCTCTCTGCTTCTAGAGTGCATGAATAATTTTATTTATCACTAATATGTGCTGAAGTTGAACACAATTTCTTTATTTACAACCATTCTCAGTCCTGCTGGAGTTATACTTGGCCTGGTCTGCAGCTTGGCTTCCAAGCGTCACTCCTTGTAAATGGAAAGGATACTTAAATAAAGGTCTAGATATGAATGTTCTCTTTTGCTCTCTCCCACCCCATTTTCCCTCATGCAAAAGCATCTTTGGAGCTTACTGTTGGTTTATGTCTGTGATATTTGGCTGCAATTAAGATTTTTGGGGTTTATTACTTTCTGCAGAAGAAGTGTCTTACAGTTAAGAAAAATGAACCTTTCTCTACAGCATCATTACATCTTAGAGAGTGCTCCTCCAGGGATGCTTATTTGTAAAAGGCAGTCCTAGACTGGATGAATATTGTGGGAATGAGAGAAGAGTTTAATGCCATTAAAATTGCTTTCTCCCTGCCAAGATTCCTCTTGAAAGACTTGTAACTCTCACCAGCTCTGGTGGTATCAGGCCAGGGACTGGCAAGACTGAGATTTTAGCAGTTTTATGTTGTTGTGCCATGTACAAGCTGTTTGTGTGTCTCTCTATCATCCATTACCACTTACCCCCTGGTCCTGCCCTTTTTTCCACCTTGTTTTCTTTTTGTGGCATATTGGTCTCACGTTGCATTCCAGTCTCTCTGCAGGATCATTGCTGGCTGGCCCCAGTGCAGAAGCTGTAGCTGACCTGTGGCAGGTGACATCTGAAGAAATGGACTGATGGCAACCTCAGAAAGCTGGACAAAGGACAATGCAAGCTCCTGCGCCATGGCTGGGACAGGATGGATGTGGAGAAAGATGCATGGGCAAGGAGTACCAGCATCTGGGCTCTCCTGGGAGGCTCAAGCTGACAGGGTGTGGAGACACAGCTTGCAAAAGAGGATGTTGCTTTGAGGCAAAAAATGCACATTTGGTCCTTTGCATGGTGGACTGAACCAGGAACAGGTTGCCCAGAGAGGCCATGGAATTTCCATCCTGGATTGCTCTGCTCCTGTTAGGTGTGGGGTGGGCTGGAGTCTGCCTGAGGTCCAGGCTGACCAACTCCACTGCTGCTTGAAGTACAGACAGAGCTCGCCATGGCATCACTCCTTATTTCCACTATTTTTCTCCTCTGAGAGTTTTTCTTCCCCAAAATTTATCTCTTGAAATAAAGCAGCTTATAATATTTTCCACTTGCAGGCCTTTAACTTGGTGATGCTTTCCTCGAGTATAAAAGCAGTGGGAGAATTTTGTTTTTAAAGGAATCCCCTCTTGAATTACAGATGACATGCTTGCACGCTTGTGAAATGTGTTTGCTCAGAGTTCCTTTGTTTGCTGCTGCCAGCCTTGTGGTGATCTTGTGCCCATGTGGCTTCCTGGTGGCTTCCCCGAGGCTCCCTCGGGCACACACAGCATTGACTGCCATGAAGTTCACCACAGGGCTGAAGTGAGAATAATTTTGCCGTCTGAAAGATGGATTCCTGCCTGTCAGAAAGGCCATTCCAGCATCCAGGGTGCATCCTCTGTGTTAATCGACAGGTGAGGAAATGTAAAGGTTTCTTCACACCCTCCTTGCTGTGGATTTCTTTCAACTAAGTCTTTTTTTTTTTTCCTATTTCTGAGGGACAGAGGGAAGATGCTGTATCTTTTGTTTCAAGGCCTTAGGGTTAGAACTTCATCTGTGGCTCTCTTTAGGTTGCTACATCAAAGTAGGCAGTAAGAAATTAAAACCACCCGGATAACATAATAAAAAAGAACAAGCCATTTAGGGGGAAAAAAAAAATCAATATTTTGTCTTTTAGGTCCCCAGTGAGAAATACTTCTGCAGAGAAGACAGAGGGAAAAACATGAACAATGGGCTTCTCCTGCCCTAATTGCAAGTACAGCAGGCATGTCAAGTGTGAATTTGAGAGACAGAGGTAAGGACTGTTTTGTAAACAGGAACAGAGCTGCTGTAGCAGAAGGACAATAGCTAAGGACCAACACGTAGCTAAATCTACCTCCAAGAAACCTTATCTGAGGAAGTAGGTATAATTCTAGATCAATGTACCTTTGTTTCATCTCCTGTTGGATTTGCTTACTGCATTTTGTATGAAGCTTGATTGTATAAATGGGTGTCATGTTCTGTAAATACTTCCAGGTGTGGGAAGAACAGGTGGGGGAATGGCTGATGTCTGGATGTCGCTTGGATGGTGTAAAAAAGCAGCTGATGGTTTTCTGAGCTGCTGCAACTGGACCTGACCAGAGCAAGGGTTTTTGGGGCCATGAGAAGGTGTTAAAATCCCATTGGACTTCCCTGTCCGCAGAGTGTTTAGTCTCCAGAGGCAGAGCAGCAGTCACATTTTGAAACATCGTGTGTTTTGGGTTTAGGGGCATCTTTTCTACCCATTTAGTGAATGTAGCCACTCTTCTTTATTGACATCATTTAGTGAAAAGTGACTGCTCCACCAGCCAAAATAAATTAAACCTGCCTTGTTAGGATCGCTGCCTCTGAGCATTAAAAGCGTGAAACGCACTCTGGGAAGCAAGTCATTAAATATACAGGGAAAAGGTGCAGAGGTTAAAGAATACTCAGATAAGTTAGATATATGCAAGTCAGCAGGGCCTCGTGAAATTCACCCTGGAGTACTGCAGGTACTGGCTGAGGTGATCTCTGAGCTATTAGCAATTATCTCTGAGAGCTCGTGGAGGATGAGTGAGGTCCCGGTGGATGGGAGAAAGGTTCTGTGTTTGCCTATCTTTGAAAAGGGGAAATAGGAAGAGCCAGGGAATCACAGGCCAGTCAGCCTGGCTTTGATACTGAGAAAAATGCAGGAGCAAATTATTGAACAATCAATTTGTAAACACCTAGAGGAAAATAAGGTGATAAGAAACAGCCGGCTTGGGTTTGTCAAGAACAAATCACATCAAAGCAATCTCATTTCCTTCTTTGACAGAGTAACTGGCCCAGTGGATAAGGAGGAAGAAGCAGATGTGATAGATCTTGACTTTAGCGAGGCTTTTGACACACATCCACATGACATTTTCATAAGTAAACAGGAGAAATATGATTTAGATGAAGTTATTATGTGATGGGTGCAAAACTGAAAAATTTGGCTTATCAGTAAAGCAGTTATCAATGGTTTGTTGTCAGACTGGGAAAACATATCAAATAAGATACCACAGAGGACTGTCTTAGGTCCAGTATTATTCAATATTTTCAGCTTTGATGATGGAATATGTAGAAAACTTCAAAAAATTGCATATGATACTGAGCTAGGAGGGGTTACAAACAGAACAGGATTTGAATACAAAATGGGCTTGATAAATTGAAGAAAGTGTCTGAAATCAATAGGATGAAATTCAATAAAGGCAGACAAGTGCAATGTATTACTTTTGGGGAAGGAAAAATCAGATGCACAAGTATTAAATGGGAAGCAACTAGTTGGAGAGTGGTTTTCATAAAAGAGGCTTAGCACAGAACACAAGCAAAATGAAATCCAGAAATGTGAAGATGTGTGAAGAGTAAATTCCACGATTGTATGGATTAATAGCAATATTGTGAATAACTGGGAAATAATTATCTAGTTCTGCCCTGAGTGGTAGAGTCTGACCCAGGAATATTGCATCTGTGTCCAACAGTAATGGCACATTTTGAAAATCATCCTCCTTTAGATAGAGAAAGAACAAAGCCTAGAAAACAATTTCTATGAGGAAAAGCTGAATTAACTGAGTATGGGCTTTTTGCTTAGGAAAAAGTACAATGCATCTACAGTATGCAAAATATTATTAAAAATCTTGTAAAGAAAAGGGCGTTTGCCTGCTTTCCCTGTTTAAAATGGTGCAAAAAAGAAAAATTTAAATAAAAAGGATGGAATAAACTAAAGCACATAGACAGAGAGATGTTCTGGCTATGGGAATGATACTGCACTGGAACAGCGTTTCTGAGGATATTCTGGAATCCTTGTTTCAAGTCCTGAAAATGGGTCAGACAGACATCTGTCTGTGATGTGAAACAGATGTCCTCTGGAGGGTACTCCTACTTTTACATTTCTACAGTAATTCATACTCCTCAGTCAAGAGAAAAGCTCACATGAAAAAGATAAGCAAGAATTAAATGCATGGATATAAATTTCTGCCCAGACTCCCACTTTTCCACTGCAAACTTCTTTTTTTGGATTTATGCTCACTTATCACACAGTCCTCTGTTCCCCTTTTCACCTGTCTGCCTTGAAACAGAGGGAAGGGTTGCTAGTCATTCCATAATTATATGAAAGATTATGAAGCCAGACAGGGCTGCCTTCTATCCAAACATGAAATAATGCACGTCTGTTCTCCTGGGCTGGTTGCTGGTGCAAAATCAAGACCAAAAAACTTAAAAAACCCCCAAAACCCAAACCTTTTTTATATCGTCTGCTGTATGCTGCTCTAAGAAACACTTTTTTCTTTTCCTTTTTCTGTTTTTGATGAAGACATACAGAGAATGAAGCTTTATAAACATGCCTTCTCTCTTTTAATGATAGACATGAGACAAAATGGATGGTACTTTTATGATGTTTTATTGGCATGATTTTGAACTGGTGTGTTATTTATGGCACCATCCTAGACAGAATGCAGCAAACCTTCTGCATCTTGTTTCTGTGTGAGCCATGTGCATCCTGAAACATAACCTTGAAATACCTAGTGAGAAGTAAGATCTTCATTTAGGGCTGTAAGGCCAGAAGTCTTAGTCATCAAGTGTTGTTTTGTGTGAAGTCTATGAGAGGAAAAAGCCACTTTTAAATGACTGATCTAAACTAACATGTTTAACTGCAGGATTTGCACGCTGCATTGTGGGGGTTGCTACACTCAAAGAGCAGAATGTCTCTTCTCCTTGATGTGCTTGGCTTTGTGATGATACCTGCACAAAATAAATTTGTGAAACCCTTCTTAAAAGGCTACAAGGCTGTGCTCACCAGTAAATAAGTGCTTACCTGGCTGTGAAACTGATTCTTTCCTTAGTATCTCTGTGAAAGCTTTCCAACTGCAGGAACCAGGGATGTTATATTTTTTGCAGATGTTGGTGGGATGAATGTACTTGCTCCCAAATTTGGGACCTAGACTTTTTCCCAAAAGTGGAGCTTTAGGAGCAGAAATGTATGCATTTAGGGAAGGGATATTTATTTGCCAGGTGAGCTGGCATGTGGGTATCTTTGTTGGAGTGAGATCAGCTCTCAGCTCTTTGGGAGGGGTTTGTCCAGGCTGCGTGGGGAGTGTTCCCAAGCATCCAGGGGTATCCAGGTCATCTGGAGCCAAGCTGATGCAGGATGCTAAGACTGCATCCATGTGATGCTGTTCTTCATGGCTGTAGACATCCATGCCAAGGTTAATAGTGTCACCAACCTTCATTTTCCCTATTTTTTGCTGGTTCATGTTTTTAACCTCCATATCATGTTTTTAAAGTCTCATATTACCTTTTGCAACTGAGTGTTTGTCAAAACTGAGCCCCCCAGGATCTACTGAAGTGCCAGCAATATTTTATACACCACTAAAGTCTTGCTAAAAGGCTATTTTGAGACTTTACTGATACTGTGAAGAAAAATAAACTCATAGTTAGTGACCCTTGTAGTATGGTTGAACTGATAGGAAGATGCACCACTACTCACATTTATGGTGAGGTCTACAGTACATAACTTTTAAGAGGGAATTTTGTAGCAGAAGGTTTTGGGAGGTCACTGGTCATACTGTCATTAACTTGCCAGTGAGAAGATAGAACCATATTTAGAGCCACTTTTACCCCTGTTTTCTGTAATATAATAGTTTTTGAGCTTTCATTAGCTACCACAAATGAAAGATTTGTGGTAGTATGGAACAAAGTGGGTTCTTCTTACCACTTGCAAAAGGTCTTATTAAACATAAAGTAAAATAAAGCTTCCTGGATCTAAATATAGGCAGGACTAAATTGGCAGATCTCAGTAAACATGACTGCTTGGTAATGGAGATAATGCTGAGTGAGCTTTATAGAAGGGGAAAAAAACTTAAATTAAAAAAAAAAAAGTCTGAAATGTTGCCAAAAGTTAATGTCTCTTTCCCCCTCTATGAAACAACACTGTCCTTGTTTTCCATCCCAACCAGCTAGAGACATCTCACTGGAAAACATTTGCCCCAATCTGAAACATATCCACAACCTGCTCCATGCTAAAATTATCAACCATACAAGTTGTGTCATGACAGATAGGAAAAAAACCCAGTCTAAGGCAAGATCAATTCCTGACCATATTTCTATGGTTTTTTTTTAAAGAATTAGTGCTGTATTCACAGAATAACTCATCTAGGAAGGAGCAACCTCTAGGCAATCAGCTGGTCAGGCAGCATAGAGGACACCCACCATAGACATTGTGCATCTTTAATTGTAGGGGTGGTGCTGGTTAAGAGGGAAGATCTGTTCTTATCTACAGGAGGGTTTAAGTCAATTTTTGAAAAGGACTTAAAAGACCTAAAAGGATCTTGCTGAAACTGAGTCTTTGCTTAAATCTCTCACCCCTCAGCTCAAGCCTTCAGGCTGAGCTCTGCCAGAGGGAAGCACTTTGGAGGGGCTGGGGGAGCACAGCCACCCTTCAGCTGGGACTCAGTGTGGCTCTGCCCATTTCCATTTCTCTGATCTCATTCCCCAAGCCCTGAGTGGAGAGATGGTGTCTCCTGCAGATTTCTGGCTGTGGAAAATTACTGCAACACGAAAAACAAGAGGGGACATGCATGCAGATGTTGCAAGGTCATGCATGGAGAAAAAACAACACCAGTGGGCAGAAACTCAAATTGTTTATTGCTTACCAGCATTACTTAATTTTGTTACATCCACTGAATTATCTGCAACAGCAGACTTTGTGGAGAGGTATGGCCCACCTGTGATACATATATAAATATATACATGTATATATTTATACACTATCATGGTGATAAA